CCGTCAGTATCAACACCGTCAGCGTCGACAACATCGCCGGAGTCATCGTCATCATCAACATCATCATCATCATCATCATCATCATCATCATCATCATCACCAGCATCACCATCATCATCATCACCAGCACACTGATCATTATCATCATCAGAGGCTTCGACGGCGGGGACAGCCTGCGGGGGGGCACCGGATGCAGAACCACCCTATGCGGGCGCCCACGCTGGCCGACCGGCGAAGCTCGAAGGCTGGCACAGCGGACGCGAGTTCCCCCGACTTCGCGCTGGGACGTCCAGCGGACTGGCGAAGAGGTCGACCCGAGACGAGCTCGAGTCGAACCTGAGTCGAGCTCGAGTCAAGCTAGAGTCGAACTCGAGTCGAGCTGGAGTCGAGTAGATCCGTTGGGCGGGTCCCAGAAAGGTCCCGCAAACGAACAGAGAGGAACAAAAACATCCTTACACATACACTTTCGAAGGTCCGCGCGGAGTTCTTGAATAGACGTTCCGTTCCCCCCCCTTCACTGGCGCGCGGAGCGCGCCAGGAGCGGCACCGCGCTGGCGGCGCCGCCAGGGGGGAGTCCAGCGCCGATCCAAGAAGCCAGCGCGGATCTCCGAAAGTTTATGCGTATGCCAATTTTCCTTCCTAGGGAACTAAAGTCGCTGAAGTCGAACAGATCCGTTGGGTGTGCCCCAGAAAGCTCCTCAAAACGAAATCTTGGCAACTCCTCGGAAGTCGTCGTAAGAACATCAAGGCGATTGAGCCTGGTCAGGGTGACTAGGCCGGCTTAAACCAACTTAAGCTCAGCAGATTAAGCCCAGGCTTAACCCGAATTGGCTAGGATAAGGCTGGATGAGGCAGGATTATGCCAGATTAAGCAAGTTTCGATCACTGCGGACATCCCAGCGCCGATGCTGAATGGAACCTCCCAGGATTTACATCCTAAGCTACTCCACGGACCTCTCCAAGCGCGCTCTGACCAGCAGTTCGAGACGAAACCCTCAGAAGCTTGTTGCAGGGACCTTCCTGGAGCCACTCGCTCCACTCATGCGTGGATGCTGCGTCGCACGCCCGTCGACTGTGAGTCGAACTTGAGTCGACCTTGAAACGAAGCAGAATCGAACCGAGGCGAACCTCAGTCGAGCAGATCCGCTAGGTGGGCCCTAGGAAGGCCCCCTGGAACGAGCATATGTGAGCATCATTACACCGCCCCCTATTAAGTCGGGCATGTCTTCCTACAGGTGGATGTTTGGGTTTTTTGTGCAGAAAAAATGCCACAATCATTACACATTGCCAAAACATCGTCCCCCATACAAGTGTTTCAGTACATGTGAATGTTTCTCCTGTAGAAGGACATGCCCGATTAAACCCGACCCCCCCACCAGCCCATTGACCCCTCTGGATGGGAATACTGGCCGTTCCTCCGGGCTCCGAGGATACTTTATCCCCAATTGTGGGGGGGGGCCTGAAATGGAAGGCGACTGGATGAGCATGTAGATCCGTCCTAGATGGGGTCGGGGGCGTCGCCGTCGGGGGCGATGCACCAGCGATGCGTCGTCGACGGGGGTGATGCATCGGCGACGTCGACGTGAAGCACATCGGGTTCCACATCGAGCCGCATGTGACATGCATCGGCGATGTGGCGCGATCATCCGACTCCATTTACTCCAACCCATTCCAGAATCCCGAAAGCATGGGGATGCCGAGAGGAGTCGGTCAAACGATGCTGAATCTGAGCGTCGAGCCGTGGCGACGAAAGCCTCACGTCAGATCCAAGCCCACCCCAGAGGTACAACCAGCCAATCAAATGGCAGCACCGTGAAATATCACACCCTGAGCTCCAGACCCCTGCGCCACTTTTCGAACCAGATCGATATGTGAAGGTCCCGGGGGCCCGAACAAAATTATCCTGGCGAAGGACCCAACCATATGCAGTTGTGAATACCGCACGTGTGAATATATTATTCGGTGGCGCCCCCTATAGGGCCACGAACCGTGCGAGGGGTGCGCCGACTTGCGCGGCGGGGTACGCAACGCGAACGAAGACGATATATCGAATTACGAGAGACTGAGCGCGGGTGAATCTGAGCGCAATCGAATCTGAATGCGAATGAGTCTGCGCGCGAGCGAATACAACTCTTGAACGCGAGCATGGCCACGCCTGGTGTGTAAATCTATAAATGCAAACGAACGTGAGCGGTTCACGCATGTCTGACCGTGAGCGTTCGTGACGCAGAGCGCGGCCACCGCAGGCAGCTTCCCCTGGAACCCCGACAGCAGCGCCCGCGCGCCGCGACGCCCATGTCGGCGCGCTCCTCACGAGGATCGCGCCCGTTTCCCCCCCGCTTTCGTTCTCCGTGTTTGCCCACGCGTTCCCGCGTCCAGGGCTGCGGGCGCGGCGTCGCGGGGGGCGCGGCGCCGCGCGGCGCTCCCGCGACGCGCCCTGGTCGCCCCGGAGGGGCCCCGCCGACGCGCGCGGGTCGTCCGCCGCGCGGGGCCGAGAGAGCTAGCTGGCTGGCTGATTGCGGGCGCGGTTGTGGCCGCCGGGCAGAGCGACGACGGGGCCGAGCGAGGTTCTGGGCAGAGCGCAGCGCGGAATTCCCGCGACGCGCGCTGGTCGCCCCGAGAGGGTCCCAGCGAAGCGCGCGGGTCGCCCGCGGCGCGAGGCCAAACGGTCAGACCGTCGAGAGACGGCGAGGCTCGGGCGGGCCGCTCCTCTGGTCAAGCCTCGCGGATGAACTCCATGAAGCTCAGCTCCCTGGCGAGGGCCGCCGCCGCCTCCCTCCTACGCCGCTTCGCGCGCATGGCAAACTGCCCCAGCTGCTTCCGCGAGCCCTCCGGCGGCCCCGCCAGGAATAACTCGATGCGCGGCGCCCGCGTGCGCAAGAGGTCCTCGTGACGCGTGGCGCGCGAGAGCAGCGCGTAGAGCTCCAGCCACCAATCGTCGTCCTCCTTCTTGCCGTTCCCAACCTCGCGGCGGCCGCAGTCCAGGATCACGCCCAGGCGATGTCGGCCGAGGGGGCAGCGGGCCGGACAGGACAACCGGCGGCTCAGGGCGAGAGCCCACGGGACCGAGAGAGGGTCTGGCTGCGGACCGCTCGGGCCCAGAAGCTTTGGCCGCGGACTGCCTGGGGCGCGCTTTTCCCTCGCCCCGTCGCCTTCGCGCATGGTGCGCCCATGGCGCGCCGTCGTAGTGATGGCCCTGCCGTGCGAGAACGGCCTTGGAGGTGCGGAACGTGAACGGCTCCGACGTGCGAGGCTCGATGAACACCAGCGGCCCCTTATGTTCCCCGTGAGGCGATCGCCGTAGCACTAGAGGTCGTGCACGAAGGGCGCGCTCGCGTACTTCTCCACGTGCACCCAGAACCCCGGCGGCAAGTGCTTCAGATAGACCCTCTTCTCGTCGCGGCGGCGCCATGCGAACTGCGCCACTGCGACCTTCGGTGGAGCTCCCTATGGGGGCACGAAGCGTGCTAGGGGTATGCCAAAATTGGGGCGGAGGCGCCATGCGAACTGCGCCACTGGGACCTGAGGTGGAGCTGTGGGGCCCCGAAACGTGAGGGGTGTGCCAAAATGGGGCGGCAGCGCCATGCGAACAGCGCCACTGCGACCTTAGGTGGGGCTGCCTGTGGGGCCACGAAACGTGTGAGGTTTGTGCCAAAATGAAGCGGCGGCGCCATGCGAACTGCGCCACTGGGACCTCGAGGGATGTCTCAAAATGGGGCGGCGGCGCCATGCGAACTGCGCCACTGCGACCTTCTGGAGTTCCCTGTGGGGCCACGAAACGTGTGGGGTGTGCCCAACTGGGGCGGCAGCGGCGGCATGCGAACTCTGCCACTGGGACCTGAGATGGAGCTCCCTCTGGGCCACGAAACGTGTGAGAGGCGTGCCAAAATGGGACGGCGGCGCCATGCGAACTGCGCCACTGGGACCTTAGGTGGAGTTCCCTGTGGGGCCACGAAACGTGCGAGGGGTGTGCCCAAATGGGGCGGCGGCGCCATGCGAACTGCGCCACTGGGACCTGAAGTGGAGCTCCCTGTGGGGCCACGAAACGTGCGAGGGGTGTGCCAAAATGGGGCGGCGGCGCCATGCGAACTGCGCCACTGGGACCTGAAGTGGAGCTCCCTATGGGGCCACGAAACGTTGTCAGGGGTGTGCCAAAATGGGGCGGCGGCAACATGCGAACTGCGCCACTGGGACCTTAGGTGGAGCTCCCTATGGGGCCACGAAGCGTGCTAGGGGTATGCCAAAATGGGGCGGCGGCACCATGCGAACTGCACCACTGGGACCTTAGGTGGGGCTCCCTGTGGGGCCGCGAAACGTGTGAAAGATGCACCGATACAGAAACATTATGAAGGCAAGGGCAAGGACTGGGAGACAGGAGGATGGGGAGGAGGGAGGAGGGAGAAGGAGGAGGAGTAGGAGGAGGAGGCGGGAGGGCGAGAGGGAGGGAGGGACGCGGGGCGCTCTCTTCAAAACGAGGACCCAACACCAGAGGACAGGGATGGTTAGGAAAAAAAGCGAAAGCGCCCAAAAAGCTGGAGACGCCAGGATCCCAGGGGTTGGAGGCCCAGACATCCGTCGATATGATTTTTCAGTGTGCGGCCCCAGAGTCCCGACCCCTTCCCCAGGGGTGGTTTATCGGCCCGATAATTGGCCCTCGGAGATCGAAATCCGGGAAAAATCGCGGGCTTGAAAAGATCTGAGGATGATGATCAGGATAATGATGATGATGATGATGATGCTGCTGCTGCTGCTGCTGCTGCTGCTGATGATGATGATGATGATGATGATGATGATGATGATGATGATGATGATGATGATGATGATGATGATGATGATGATGATGATAAGGATGATGATGCTGATGATGCTGATGCTGATGCTGATGCTGATGCTGATGAGGCCGAACTCCAGGAAAAGCGTGGGATTGAAAAGATCAGAACCTCGGACCTCTGGGGACCCAGGCCCGCCGCGGCCTCTGGCGCACGGGGCCCGCGGCACTCCTGGCGCCCGCGCCGCCGCCCGCGATGTCGCCGCGCGCGCCCCCGGCGCCGCGGGCGCTGGCGAGCGCCTCGCCGAGGCGACCGACCGTCGCGGTGGCCCGGTCCACCTGGGGTGAGAGGAGCACAACCCCTGGGGGAAGGGGTCGGGACCTCTAGGGCCGCGGTTTGAAAACACATCGGCGGATCTCTGGGCAACCAACAAAAATATCCCCAACCCTTTGGGTTGGGACCTAACACTTAGGAAAACATGAAGGAGAGAGGTCTTCTCGGCAGACGTATCAGACCAAACCGCCCAGATTCATTACAGTAGGGGCCCGACCACAAGAAACCTTCCAAAAGAAACCCAACCCTGAGACCCCAGGACGCCCATGGATTTTTGGTGCGGGGACGTCACGCTCTCCATCGCAAAACCATCGAGACCCAAGAAACCCAGGGTACCCTGAAGACGAGCAGAGTGTTTCTTGGCACGGGCCTCCACAGGACCCCTACTGCAAAGCTGGGGCCCTCAGTGAGGCCACGTCTTCCTCGTGCTCTTAGGGTTAGGGGCTCTTTTGCGCTCTCGCTGAAGCAAACATACCGCCGGCGAGCGATGGGGGAGGGTCGGCGGCGAGCGCACTTCGAGGTTCGAAGTTCGAGGCGGTTTCTCGTGCGAGGTTCTAAGCTCGAGGTTCGAAGATCGAGGTTCGAAGATCGAGGTTCTAGGTTCGAAACTCGAGGCGGTGTTTCAACGTTTTCGGCCACCGGGCTCGCGGGTCCTGGGACCCCCAGAACTCGATCCATGGTGGAAAACCGCGTCGGATGGACCTCGGGAGGGGTCGGGGGACCGCTTTGACCCATGTTCGGGGGCGCGCCCAAGGGGGGGAAGGCTAAGGAGAAGGCCTTCTCAGAGGGCGGCGGGACGACTCGGAAGCCCTCGCGCCGTCTGAGAAGTGTTCTGCATCTTCGGGGAAGGCTCAGAAGACCTGTCAGCATGCCTGGCCTCCTGAGAAGGCCCGCCCGCCCCTTTGCACACACACCCAGGGCTCGCCGCCGAAACTGGGTGGCGACATCCGAACCCTACCCGCACCAAGCATCGACTCTCCTGCATCGATGGGGGGCAGAGGCAAGGTTCGGACTTCGCCACGTGCTCGAAGACTTCCGGGCCCTGCCCCCTCGCCTATCAATCTGCCTTCCTCGTTGATCGGCGATTTGGGCGCCCGAAACGGGTACGGAAAAAACGGGTACAATGGCCAACAACAAATGTTGTCCCAAACCAACAGCGGCCGCTGTTGGGCAGGCGGCCTTCGGTCTCGAATGACACAGGCCGCGGCGAAAACGAACAGGAACCGCTGTTGGGCATTGTGCCCATTCTTTCCGTACCCATTTCGTTCGTGCCGAGGCGAGGGTAAGGTTTGGACGTCGCCGCCGGCAGTGGCATCGTCGTAAACGTTCGGAGCTCTGCCCGCGTTGCTTGAACCGGCGCTGGACCGCCCCCCCCCCCCTGGCGCGCGGAGCGCTCGGGAGACGGCGAAACAGAGGCGCCGCCGGGGAAGGCCTCGGCGCAGATCTCAGAAATCCGCGCGGACGCGCAGTCGAGTCGCACAACCAGGCCGCGTGGCAAGGGTGCAGGCGCCCCGGAGAGGGCCACGTTGTCGCTCTCGAGCGGGGCTGGCCGGCGAGAGCCGCCCAGTTGGGGCGGAGGGAGCAAGGGTGTCAAGGTGGCCTTGGAGCGCTGCTCGTCCTGGCTATGCGACTTGACTGTAGACATGAGCTGTTCGGGATACGAATCGACCGAAACACACATACAGTAGGGGCCCGACCACAACGAACCTTCGACAAGAAGACCAAGCCTGAGACCCCAGGACGTCCATTGACTCTTGGTGCGGGAACGTCACGCTGTCCACAGCAAAACCATCGAACACCACGAAACTCAGGGCACCCTGGAGGCGAGCAGGGTGCTTCTTGGCATATGCCTCCACTGTAAGCATTCAGGGAGCTCCGCGCGGGTTTCTTGGATCGGCGCTGGGCCACCCTCCCTGGCGCGCGTAGCGCATCGGGGGCGGCGCCGCGGCACCTTGGCCGCCAGGGAAGGCCTTTGCGCAGATCCGAGGAAACCGCACGGAGCTCCGACAGGGTACGGTCGAGCCTAAGGCAAAAGGACATCTTGGCGGGATGCAAATGGGGGGATAAGTCCAGATGGGGAGAGAGGCGCAACCGAGGTACAAATTGTACCTACGCCCCACGGAGAAGGTACAAGTTGTACCGACGCCACGCAGGCAAGGTACAAATTGTACTTTTGACAACGTCCGCGACATGTGCGAGGATGTTAACGGGGGGGGAGAAGGTACAATTTGTACTTGCAACCCGCAGAGAAGGTAGAACTTGTACCCCAACAAAACGGTACCGGATACTCATCCCCCCCATGTCCTGATCCCCCCATCGCCATCCGGCCGAACATCCCTCAAGAACACGAGACTCTCCGTGGGCAAATACACACAGAACATCCAAGCGTACCCTAGAACGCGAGACCCTCCGCCGGCCAAAATCGGGGGCGCGCAAACATGGACTAGCGATCCATGGATTTGGCTAACGGTCGCCAAATCCATGGATCGGGGGAGGTGCCCTCCTGAAAATGGGGCCAGTGCCGCCTCGCTCGGCGGCGGAAATCCGCGATCCCCGATGGAAACAGGACCCGTCGCTAATCCACGCCCTCTTGATCCATGTTTGCGATCGCCTCGAAGAACACGAGACCCTCCATGGGCAAAAACGCACAGAACATCCAAGGGTGCACTAGAACACGAGACCCTCGCCCGGCTGGCCCTGGCCAATGCCAGTGAATAGAGCCGGATCGCATCGAATTGGAATCGCGGCACCAGCTGGCGAATCGAATCGCATCGAATCGGATCGTGGCCGGTCCTGCCTCCCTGAAGCGACCTCGATCTTATATCTCGGCCCATTGCTTTGTCTCCCGAACCTCTGCGGCGCAGCCGCTCACGGCGGCCCTCAGCACCTCGGGGGCGAGAAGAGTGATTGGCAATAGGACAAGAGTGATTGGCAGTAGGACCCCAAACCTTTTGCGAGGGGACCTGAAGTTAGGAGGGCCACCAACATTGGGGTATATAGGGGGTCTGTTCTGCGGATGAATCGTAGACCACACCGCCCAGTTCTGTGATCCCTAAGGCACAGACGGGGACCTAATTAAGGCCAGGTCTTCACTACGCGTCGGTCGGAAGAAGTAGACACAAATATGAAGTAGGAAGGCGAATCTACTATATATACACACATATGTAGTAGGTTCAGGCCCTCCCAGAGAACACAACAAACGCAGCAAAAGCACGTCGATTCTTGAAGTGGGAAGGCGCTGTTAAAGTACATTGGGACTTGGGCATCCAAAAATACCCACCTTCAACGACCGACAGGTATGTCCTTAGAGCCAGAGGTTTCTTTGTATCCCCGATGGAAGAGGATGAAGGGGCCCCAGGACACACAAATAAATACACACAAATAAAACTATTTCCCATATTTTCCCATATTTTCTGGGTTCCTGTCTTCCCCCCCACTGCCCATATTTTCCGATATTTTGTGGGAATCGGCGATTAATTGTGTCTGTGTGTTTTTTCCCCTCCTGAATGTTCTTCGAGCCAGAGGGTTCTTTTTATCCTCGATGGAAGAGGAGCCCAGGTCTCCGACGGCATGATCTGTTCAAATCAAAGGGCTCTCCTCGCTTGCGGCTCTCGGGGGGGCCGTGTTCGCTCCTCGGGCCCCGGGGCCCTGAGAGGAAACGGATCTGGGAAGTGAACCTGCCCCGAGGGGAAGGGGCCGGGATCTGCGAGGCGGACCCTGAGCTCCGGGCGTCGCAGCTGATTGCTTCGGAGTAGGAGGGGGAGGAAGAGGAGGAAGAGGAGGACCAGGAGGACGAGAAGGTGGAGGGATGATGGTGATGATGATGATGAAGAGGAGGAGGAGAAGGAGGAGGAGGAGGACGAGGAGGACGAGAAGGTGGAGGGATATGATGATGAAGAGGAGGAGGAGGAGGAGGAGGAAGAGGATCATCACGATCGATGCAGCTAACAAAATTCAGCAGAAAGATAGGGCTTGTTGCGTCGAATCCTCTTCTGTCCGCCGGGTGGGACATTCTAGAACACATCACTTCTGTCCACCGGTTGGGGCACCCTAGAATGGAAGTAGCAGGCCTGATCCTTCGTCTGCTATGTAAACGACGAGGGGGGTGGGTCGACAACGGAGAGGGAAGATGAGTATTGAAGCGGAGAAGGAGGAGGAGTCGAAGGAGCAGGAGCAGGATGTGGAGGGGGGCGCAACGAGGGTGAACCAATCAGATCCAAGAACGTGGCCCACGTTCAAGCGAGAGCGCCATTCCGAACGACCGATCCCAGCATGTGGCCGATGCTGTAGCGGCAACAGCATGTCGAAGGACCCAACTTCTGTGGCAACTCATGGGAGCCTCCAATACCAACTTGTTGGGTCTTACGAATCGACGCTAATCGACGGTAGTTGACGTTAAATCGACGCTACATTGGCACTAAATCACCGATTACCAGACGCTGATCGATGCTTATGCACTCTGACGCGCATGCACTCTAAAGACGGAACTTCGAGCGCACGCAAGGCTGCACAGGATTTGACGCCGAACCCGACGTTCCGATAAGAAAAACGCGCATTCTGAGTGGAACCTCACATTGTAATCCAATGTATTGTCAGGGAAGGGGGGGATGGCAGTCATGAAGAGTAACTGTGTACGGGCAGGAGGAGAGAGGAGGGAGACAGGAAGCAGTGGAAAGACAATGGGGACGGGGAAGGAGGAGGGAGGAACACATGGTGGAGAAGGGGGAGAGAGGAGGGGAAGGGGGAGAGATGCGGAACAAGACGAGGGAGACCCCTGGCGCCTCCAGGTTGTCTGGCTCCAGGGTGTCTAGCCTGGTGAGGAGCGCTCTCCTCCTCCTCCTCCTCCTCTTCCTCCTCCTTTTCTTCCTCATTTTCGTCCTCCTGTTCCTCCTCCTTTTCCTCCTCCTCCTCCTCCTCCTCCTCCTGCTCCTGCTCCTCCTCTCCTCCTCCTCCTCCTCCTCCTCCTCCTCCTCCTCCACCTCATTCTCCTCCTCCTCCGCTCCTCCTCCTCCTCCTCCTCCTACTCCTCCTCCTTCTCTGCCTCATTCTTCTGATGTTTGACATTGGGCGATCTTGAATCCTAGGAGTATAGCATCCTCATCCTCCGCCTCCTCCTCCTCCTCCTCCTCGTCCTCCTCGTCCTCCTCCTCCTTTTCCTCCTCCTCCTCCTTTTCCTCGTCGTCGTCGTCGTCGACTGCTGCTGCTGCTGCTGGTCCTCCTCCTCCTCCTCCGTCTCCGTCTCTTCCTCCTCCTCCTTCATTCCTGCTCCTTATGACTAACTTTCCCCTGTCGCACCCCGAGGCCAGTTTTTAGAGCGGTCCGGGCGTTTCGCCTGAGACTTCCTCACCACTTATGACCCTGAAGCTAAAACATGGAAAACAGCTTCACAGATGGAGGGCGGGCCGATTTGAGAATGTGGCTCCCGCCTTAGCGCCGCGCGCTTTCGTTAAAACTTTGCAAGAATTTCGGGGATTGAAGGAGAATGGTTTACAACATATGACTCTCGCCTGCCTTAGCCCCGCCCGCATTCGTTTTGTAACTTGCAACGGTTTCACGGATTGAGGGCGAGTGGTTTTCAAAATGTTGATCTCGCTTTAGCGCCGCGCATTTTCGTTATAAACATTTGCAATGCTCCACGGATTGAGGGCGAGTGATTTACAACATGTGGCTCTCGCCCTAGCGCCGCGCACATCCGGCTCAAAAGTTGCAAGAACCTCACATATTGAGGGCGGTTCCTTCTCAAAATGTGGTTATCGCCTGAGCGCCGCGCACAATCATACTTTATATGTGCAAGAGTTTCACGGGTTCCCATGATCAGCAGGAACGGCGGTTTGGAAGGATTCAGGACTTTGAGGGCGCAACAGTTACTTTGATTCACGGCGTAGCAGTCCCAGGAATGGCGTTCTGGCACCATTCAGGATCGCCAAGACGCAACATTCAGGTTGATCCGTGGCGTTGGAATCCCGGGAACAATGTTGTGGTATGCTTCAGGGTCTTCGAACGGTTGCCTTCCAATGAGGCAGCTCCCTCAGAGGAAAACAAACCTGTAGGCGCCTATTAAGACGGAGCTTGGGGGGAGGGTTTATTCCAACATCGTGAACGATTGTTGGGTTTACACTGGTTCCTCCTCCTCCTGCTCCTCCTCCTTTTCGTTGTCCTTCTCCCCCTCCCCTTCCCCCTCCTCCACCTTCTCCTCCTCCTCATTATCCTCATCCTCATCAGCATCAGCATCATCATCATCATCATCATCATCATCATCATCATCATCATCATCATCATCATCATCATCACCATCATCATCATCATCATCATCATCATCATCATCATTAGCATCATTAGCATCATTAGCATCATCATCATCATCATCATCATCATCATCATCATCGTCATCATCATCAGCATCATCATCACCATCATCAGCATCAGCATCAGCATCAGCATCATCATCACCATCACCATCACCATCACCATCACCATCACCATCATCATCATCATCATCATCATCATCATCATCATCATCATCAACATCATAATCATAATGATCATCATCATCATGCTCATGCTCATGCTCCTGCTCCTCCTCCTCCTCTTCCTCCTCCTCCTCCTCGTCCTCCTGTTCCTGTTCCTGCACCTGATCCTGCTCCTGCGTCTCCTCCTCCTCCTTTTCCTCCTCCTCCTCGTCTTCCTCCTCCTCCTCCTCGTCCTTCTCCTCCTCCTCCGCCTCCTCCTCCTCCTTTTCGTCCCTTTTTCCTTTTCCTCCTCCTCCTCCTCCTCCTCCTCTTCGTCCATTCGTTTTCCTTATACATAACTTCCCCCTGTCGCACCCCGAGGCCAGTGCTTTTAGAGCGGCCCACGCGTTTCGCATGACTCTTCACCTACGACCCTGAAATTCAAACAAAAAAAAAAAAAAAAAAAAAAAAAAACACATCCTCCTCCTCTTCCTCCTCCTCCTCCTTTTCCTTTTCCTCCTCCTCCCCTTCCTCCTCCTCCTCCTCCTCTTCGTCCTCCTCGTCCTCCTCGTCCTCCTCCTCCTGTTCCTCATCCTCCTCCTCCTCGTCCTCGTCGTCGTCGTCCCCCTCCTCCTCCTCCTCATTTTCCTTTTCCTCCTCCTCCCCCTTCGTCCTCCTTTCGTTTTTTGTCCGAATATATTTCCCCGGTCGCACCCCGAGGCCCGTGTTTTTAGAGCGGCCAGGGCGTTTCGCCTGTGACTCCCTCACCACTTATAACCCTCAAGCGTAAAACCTGACAACAGCTTCACAGATGGAGGGCGGGTCGTTATCATCATTTGGCTATCGTCTTATCGCCGCGCACATTCGTTTAGACAATTGCAAGAGCTTCGCGAAGAAATTACAATAATTTCACGGTATGAGGGAAAATGATTTAATAGATTGCCACATCATTGATGACACGGGCACTGTTGTGACCATGTAAAAAGGGCAACATGGGATCATGATCGCATCGTAACTGCTCTCCTTTCTCCTCTTCCTATAGTAGTACACTGCTCAGGTAAGTCATCAATGTACGTGATGTATCCCGAAATTCCACGGCTATACGAGTATGATGGTGTCCGTTAAGCTTAGGCGACTAACAATATATGAGGGGGCCAGCAGCCCGGGGGAGGGCGCGCGCGCGCCGGGCGTGCGGGCCGCAGTCTTCCTCTTCAGCCATCCCACAACAGCTGCGACGAAACTGTGGGTCAAGAGTGGGCACGGGGGGACGACTGAATCACCCCCCCCCGCGGCCGGCCCGGCGACCTCCACTGTCGCGGGCGGACGAACCTGATGTACGTACCGCCCCGAATTTTTAGTATAAGCGTCTTAACGCGCCAAGCCCGGCTGACAGCCCTCCCATTGTCTGGCTCGCCGTGCGAAAGACGCGGTTGCATAGACATATGGACATATCTGAGCCGCAAAAATCAGTCTCGAAGGGGCTCTGTCGGCATGGCCGCTTTTCTCCTCGCTCTCTCCCTCTCACCCTCACCTGTGATCACGTGAGCGCCAGCTGTCATTGGTCCAGATGTCCAAGCTCCATGTCCACGATGACCACGAAATCGCGGCGCCTCCCTGCCACGGGGTGGGAGAATCCGTAGTCTGCTGCTCCGCGTCGGCACACGCGCGCAATGGGCGAGACGCCCTGTCTTCATCTGCCCCGCGCAGCGCTGCGTCTGCCTCAGCACGCCGTTGAGCATCCTGACACCGAAAGTCACAGGCCACAGGAGGCCGCACAGCAGGCATGGAACTCCAAGAAGCTCCCCCGCGCTGTGGGACCTGCCCCGCTGCGTTGCGATTTCAGCTCGGCGCCGCCTGGATTATCGTTGATCATCTGGTGCTCGTCGGAATGGCCTCTTTGATCCCTTGCAGCTGCCCTCGTTGTCCTTTCCCTTGCCCGCTGCGTCGCCCGCCGCCCTCGCTGCCGTAGAGCGGCCCCCAGGCCGCGCAGAGCGCGGCCGCTCGGCGCCCTTGGCAGATGGCCCGCGAGATGCTGCGGCAGCCCCGACATAGTCGGCTGGCGCGCCCGCACTCGTTGCACGCGCCTTAGGCCCTCTGCGGAACTCTGCCCGCGGCCAGTAGTCCGCAATCTCCGCCGCCATGGCAGCCTTCAGACTGGCAAGCGGTTCAATGTCCCTCGTTCCCAGAGCCGCCATGCACCGCGCGGACGAGCCGCAGCTTGGTTCCTCTTGGCGGCGCCACGCTGGATGGGTGTAGTCCCAGTCGAAGGGGTTCAGCATGGCTTGGCCATCCTCTCTCATCAACCTCCTACTGATGCGTGGCCGCAACTCCTTCGGGGGAACCACCGCCCCCTTCCCTGCCGCCGGCGTGCCGAAGTGGGTGATCTGGACCTTGATCCACCTACGAGCCAACGTCCGTCTTCTCAAGCTTGTAAAGGTTCTGCTGCGCAGGTAATTCGTCGTCTGGGGACGTAGGCAACCAAGCAAAGACCGTTATAATGTTGCTCTGGAAACCAATCTTGTTGGGCGTTGACTCTGCGTAGGGCAGTTCCCGGAGCACCAGCCTTTTTCCACGTCTTATGCGTCCTTGCCTGCACGCGATCGGCGTCTGCCTCAGCCCACCTCTTCGCCCCTGGGTCGCGGACATAATCCAGGCGAGCCATGTCGTCCAGACCGATATCCTCGTAGACAACCTTGGGCTCGAGATCATCGGTGTCGGAAATGCGGGCCCCGCACTTAGTCCAGCACGCGAAACACGTCAGCGCCCCGATCCGATTGCGGCAGCCATTGCCGCGCAGAAGGTACCCGTCGCCCCACATGTCAGAGGCGCACGGGGGCGAGCTTATCACCGATGTCCTAGTTGGGCATGCGATGCAGCTCGTGATGCTGCCCAACTCGCTCGACGCAGGCCGAACCGAAGTCGGGATGGACATGGGGCGCCGCGAAACGTCGGTCACAAATCGACCAACGTCCACGACGCCCGTGCACGCTGAATTCCCGACACAGAATCTTGCGAATCTCGCTCCACTTGGGGCGGACAATGTCCTCGAATACACAGGGCTCAAACGAGAGCATGCGCAGCTCCGATGGCGGGCGCGGGCCATCCAGACCGAAAACACTGGCATCCAAAGCCTGGCCAACCACTGCTCTCGCCCATCCTCCTGGTCTGAGCCACCTTGGCAGCTCTCTGGGCATTTCGCCGTGCTCGCCGGTCTGAATCTTTTCGACCAATGTCTGTGCCCCGAAGAAAAAACCCACTCACCACTCCAAACGACGACATCGTTTGGGGGGTCGTGCAGTCCGAGCTCGGTCGGCGGGCAGGTAACGAAGCGATACTGACAAACTCCGTGGAGATCGCGCGTCG